AAAAAGAAAAAAGAAAAAAAATTGAGGGTCTGCCACTTCCTGTGCCTAAACTTGGACTTGATATTTAAGATACTTAATCTGTCCCAGCCTCTTTAATGTCCTCTGAGAAATAAAGAGGATTCTGGCGCTTGTCTCATGGATCAGTGCCGCGTCCCCTCGCCAGCAAAGGAAACACGACACAGGATTCTTCCTTCAGCAGTTTATTCAGGCCTTTATTTTGACATGTCTTCTAGTTTCTACTTCTACTCCTACTGCTACTTCTACTGCTACTCCTACTACTACTTCTACTACTACTCCTACTACTGCTTCTACTACTACTCCTACTACTACTCCTATTACTACTTCTCCTGCTACGTGCCCCAGCCCTAATAAAGCAGATAAAGCCCCAATGCACAACTGCCACGTGGATCTTTCTCATAGGGTGTTTTACAGCTACGTGCCAACTCTCCCAAAATAAGGAGTTGTTTATCACAGGCCACGGCGCTTATCAGCGCCATCTTGTAATGGCGGCCACAGTACACAGAAACGGCTCACTACAGATCAGGATCAGAAGTGAGGGGGTTTTCTGGTTTTGCCTTTTTTATTTTTTGATGCCAGGGATTGAACCCAGGGGTGCTTAATCACTGAGCCACATCCCCAGCCCTTTTTATGTTTTGAGACAGGGTCTCTCTAAGTTGCTTAGGCCTACTGAGTTGCTCAGGCTGGCTTCCAACTTGCAATCCTCCTACCTCAGCCTCCTGAGTTGCTGGGATTATTATAAAATTGTGCCCCTGTGACTGGTTTGCCTTTTTTTTTTTTTTTTTAAGAGATAGGGTCTTTTTTTTTTTTTTTCACAAACTGCTACATTTTATTTTTGCACCAAAGGAAAATAAAAGAACCAATTTTCTAAGCAGCTCAAAAACTGTTAAGTGTTCAATGATCAAGAAGGAAATGAGGTCAGAAAGCAAACTTTTCACTTCCTCCCAAACATATTATTGCAAGTATCACAGAAACAATACTGATTTTCAACATACAGAAGTTAATCAAAAAGGAGAATACTGCAGATACACAGGTCAGACTGGGAGTAGTGATCCAAGAAGCTTGAATAACCAAGCAGCTCTTTCTGTCCATATTCCAGGCTCATCAAATTCCTCCTATTTCAAAGTAGATATCCACATGCAGAAATCTTGGCAGCTCCAAATATATTAGTCTAGCTGTTTCACATGGCATCTCCACAAGCCGGGCCCCAACTCAAATTCTGTACAGGAAGTTCCCATTGCTGTCAAAGAACCCCCGTCCCCTCTGCACTACTTTGCTGCTGAAGTTCTGGTTCCGTAGCTCCCCTGTCTTCAACATTTCCAGTTTCTCATCACTTGGCAATCCATTACTGTCAGTTCTTCTGGTACCTACACAATCATTGGAGTATTTTTTCAGCTCTCTCTGATGATCTAAAGCTGCAGTGATAGGCTCAAAGCTTTCCTTCTTCAAGCCCTGGATTCCTTTATTCCTTCCCTTTTGTCTCAGTGCATTTGTACTGTGAGTTTTTGACTCTATCACTGTCAAAGCTGTGCTGTGATGCTGACCTTCAGATGAGGCTTCATCCCCTGGCATCAGAAAAGAGTTTGATACAGAGTGGCCTGCAGCAAGTGAGTGAGTGGGCAAACTCAGCTTTCTTAAGAACTTTTTGGTCCTGCTTCAGTTTCTGTTCCAAAGTGGGTACAAATTTACTTTTTAAAACCCTTCGGATAACATCGGTGCTGACATCAAAACCTTCAGCCAACCTGGGAACTGACCAGGACTCAGCAAATTCCTTATGTAAATACCATATCTGCTCCATGGCTTCCCATGTCAGAGTTCTGGGCGGGGCACCTGGCGCCTCCATTTGCCTCCGAATTTTCTGGAATCGAATGGCTTTTTTCCTGTTGTTTCAGGGTGCTGCAGGAGAGAACCAATGGCAGAAGCCATGCGTGGAAGCAAGATGGGTGTTTGAAAAGTCTTGGGCTAAATCACCAAGAGCCCAGCCCTCTTTGGTGTCAGTAAAGGCCACGGGGCCATGTTTGCCAGCTTAACGCCGCTCTGTCCACCGACCCCCAAATCTAACACCTACAACAATAACTGCCCGTCAGCATGCTGAACTATCTGAAAGTGTAACGAAATATACGTCACTAGCGAAGGAACCTGTGGTCGCAAGGGAGCTGAACATCTGTCCCTACGCCACTAACAACAGGTAAGGTAACAACAGGGTAACCGCCGTGGAGAAGTAAACCAGCCTCCAGCAGCCCGCTACCCTACAGCACCGAGTTAGGGTCTTAGTATGTTGCCCAGGCTGGCCCCAGACTCCTGGGCTTAACTGATCTTCCTTCAGCCTTCTGAAGTTCCCCATCCTAGTCACAAGGTCTCACCTCTTCTCAGTTTTCCCAAATAACCACTGCTGGACTCAGCCACCATGGGTATTTGGTTATTTTCAACTCCCCATTCCACTCTGCACACAGGTGTCTCCACTGCATTGGCATGTAGTGGTGGTGTTCTTTAGCTAATAGGCTTGGCTGATAGTTATGCCAGCCAGGTAAATGCCAGCTGGAACCCACTCAGGGTTGCACTTTGGCAAGATAGCTTTATTTAATTATACTATACTATATGTGCCTTGTCCCTAAGTCAACAGTATTAATATCTATGAGGTAGCAAACAAAAGAGGTCACTTCCCTAAGTAACATTCTGTCCAGGTTGCTGTTTTGCTTCACTCAGCTGGACTGACAGTTGGAGCAAACAGTGAGGTCCCTGCCCTGTAGCCACTGGAGTGGTGGTTGAAGGCGAGCCAAGGGAGCGGTTACTGTGGCTTGCCTTGCACCCGTGGCTCAGCCGTGTGTGGGTGAATGTTTCTCAACTCTCCCTCAGAGGGGAACTTTGCCCCTGAAGCTGTCAGCTCAGCATGAACACTCTGCTTTCTGTGTTGATCCTAAGTGGGGGTTGGGGGTGTGGGGCTGAGATGTGACTCAGTGGTAGAGCACTTGCCTTGCATGCGTAAGGCCCTGGATTCCATCCATAGCACCCAAAAGGAAAAAAAAAAAATCTGTATTCACCCCAAGAAACAGGCCCTGAAATAATTGTTCTAGAGGTTTTCCTTCATGTATATTTTCACAGATGTATAAAAGCATTGGTCCACGGATATCTATAGCAGCTTTGTTGGTGAAGATTGAGGGCTGGGGTTGTAGCACAGTGATAGAGCGCTTGCCTAGCATGTGTGAGGCACTGAGTTCAATGTTTTGCACCATATTAAAAAAAAAAAAAGAATAAGTTACTAAAAAAAAAAAAAAAGAAGGGAAGATTGAAAAAGGCCTCAAAGATCACCAGCAAGGAGCCAGTGACATGAGGTGGAGGCTCCGTGGCTGTCCAAACAAAGGCAATCTGGGCTGGCTGTGTGGCTCGAAGCTAGCATACTTGCTGAGACGCACCAGTTACTGGGTTTGCTTCTCAGCACTCCCAAGAGAAGGTGACAAAAAAAAAAAAAAAAAAAAAAAAAAAAGCAATTCACCCTGAGAGCAAATCCTGTTTATCCAGAAACATGTCTGCACATGTAGAAAAGAATGTGCAAGATCACTGCTTGCAGCACTGTTTGAGGGTTGCAAAATGATTGGAAATAATTCAGATGACCCTCAGTACATAAGAAAAACAATGGTATACAAAGGGGACCTTTGGGGCAGATGGAAATGCTGTGTGTGGGTCTGTGCCTTTTTCAAAACTTATCAAACCAGGGATGGGGGTGTAGCTCAGCGGTAGGGTGTGTGCTCAGCATGCATGAGGTCCTAGGTTCCATCCCCAAAAGCAAAGTTCAGATCAGTGAGAAGGAGGAAAAAAGCCAATTACCCTTTGTTTTGATTTGCACCAAGAAATTCAGGGGGGGGGGGAAGACATGGCATTTATAAAAAGGCATTTCCTCAGGAGAGGGGAAGGAATGGGGTGAGCTGGGACGGGGAGGGGGTGAGGCATTACACTTTTCTATGAACTTCAGATTGTGAATGGTGTGAACGTGTCACTGGATCCATATACAAACCAACAAAAATGAATGTCCTCAGACAAACCATGGAAGAACCGTGGTTAAATAGTGGAAGGACCCCATGCAGAATTGTGTGTGTCACTTTGGGGTAGAAAAGGAGGATGTTGGCTGGGGGTGTGCCTCAGTGGCAAAACACAAGCTTAGCATGCCCAAGGCCCTAGTTGAACCCCCAGCACCTCCAAGAATAAGAAAAAACACAAAAGAAGGATTTTTTTTTATTATTATGAAAAAAATCAACTTATTTCTAGAAAAAGAATATAATAATGGCAGCTGCCGCTGGGAAGAGGGAATGCACAGGTTGAGGTTTTTTGGTACTGGGTATTGCTCTTGGGGGTACTATTCCACTGAGCTAGATCTCCAGCTCTATTTCTGGGGGGGGTTCCAGGGATTGAACTCAGAGGCACTCAACCACTGAGCCACATCTCCAGCCCTATTTTGTATTTTATTTAGAGAGAGGGTCTCACTGAGTTGTTTAGTGCCTCGCTGTTGCTAAGGCTGGCTTTGAACTTGCAATCCTCTGGCCTCAGCCTCCCAAGTCCCTGGGATTACAGATGTGCATCACAATACTTGGCTAGGAGGAGGGCATGGTTTGGAGAGAGGGCCTGCAGATTTGGCCTAGAAGACTTGCTTTATTTTGTATCTTTCTTCCTGCTTGTTTTGTTTTTGTTGTTTGTTTGTTTTGTTTTTTTTTTGAGACCCGGTCTCACTATTTTACCCCAGGTTGACCTTGAACTCCTGGACTCAAGTGATCCTCTTGCATCAGCTTCCCAAGTAGCCGGGACTACAGACACACCACGGCACCTGGCTCTTGATTTTTACTTAAAATCATATGCATGTATGAGGACACTTGGTTATGGATAGGGTTAGGAGGTGGTGGAAGCAGGGGGCAGGGGCTCAGGGGAGCCCGGGCGCTCTAACCCTAAAGAGACAACACATTCCAGGCACACATGAAGCCTTGACAGTTATGCTTTTATTAAATGGCAGTATCAGAAACATGATTGCTTCAGGAACAAGTTTTCCCTCTCTTCCTCCCGGCTCCCCAAAACTCAGCCTAGGTGAGTCTGGCCGTGGGGAGTGACATGCCGGCCGGAACACATGTCCATGCATCTTTCACATGTGTGGGCATCTGTGCCACCATGGCCATTGGTGCTGTGGCTCTCTTTCCTGCTCTGCCAGCGCACCAGGGGCCTGAGAGACAACCTACCTGTGGCTGGGGTCTCCACAGGGCCACGCACCACCCTTGCAGAAGCCCCACTGCCTCCGGCCTCCAAGTGGGCAGGCAGGGTCCTCCTGGGTGTTCAGGCTTTGGCTCGCTTGGGCAGGCTGGTCTTGAAGAGGGATTTTCCCGAGGCTTCGATGTATGTGACGGTCATCTCCTTAGGGCTTATCTCCACGTAGGCAAAACCACCCAGTGAGTCCTCGGACCCATAGTGGAAGCGCAGGTAGCCGTTGGGGACTTTGCGCTGATGCCGCACCGAAGGGTCCATGAAGTTGCCTGCCCCACTCAGCACGTAGCCCACTCCGTTCTCATCTTGAAGGTACTGAGGATAGAGGAGAAGGCAAGGTCAGTGGAGTCCCCAGCCCTGACTTGGGGTGAACCAGGGGTTCCACCCACAGCTGCCTTGGGTACAGGGCCAAATTTGTCCCTGACCCCATGATTTTTTTTTTAGCAAAATGCACAACCCCCCTGACCTCAGTTTCCCCTACAGGGGTGTATTAATGCCACCTCACAGGTCCAGCACTAGTAAGCAACTATTGTCATGACTTTTATGAAACTTTAGGGTATTTTCCTGGATAGAGAGAAAATTCAAGTTCAAACCCTTCAGAAGGCCCCAGGAGGCCCCCAAACAGCAGGAGGACACCAGAGCTAAGAACCTGGCTCCCCTCCCCACGCACAGAGTCCTCACCTGCAGGTTGTGGTCATGGCCGCACAGGTAGGCAGTGACCCCATATTTGACCAGCAGTGGCTGCAGGTGCTTGACCAGGCAGCGGGTGGGTCCATGCTCAGCAATCGACCACACGGGATAGTGGCCGGCCACCAGCACGTAGTCCTCTTTGGCTGCTGCCAGCTGCTTCTTGAGCCAGGACATCTGGGCTCGGGCCAGCGTCAGGTCTTTGGGCCTCTCAGGCTGCTGGCTGAGGAAATCATTCGAGTTGCCACACAGCGTCACAGTGTCCAGCATGAAGATGGCCACAGACGTGTTGGTCCGTGGGATCTTGAAGTGCAGGCGGTAGAAGGGGCTGGGGAAGTTCCTGTGGAGGAAACCGAGGTCAGGTGTGAGCATTTTGGGCAGAGAAGCACCAGAACTGTCTCGGGTCCCTTTGTCACTGTGCGTGAGAGGCAGAGCAGGCTCACCAGCGCTTGGAGACCTTGGAGTAGGCAATCTGTGCCGAGACGTTGCCCAGGTGGTCATGGTTCCCTGCCAGCACATACCAGGGCACATTACGCAGGGAGCGGTCAGAGAACACATCCTCAAAGGTCTCCTGCGGCCGACAGAAAGGACACCCCCACCAACAAGGGTCAACAGCTACCCCAATGCTGCCACAATCAGGGCCCAGGGCCCAGGGAGTTGGTGCGTGTTTCAGGCACTGGTCAGCTTCCCTTTGCCCTCCCCAGAAGGTCACCAGATTGGGTGGCTTCTTCCCACTGCCATCCCCCTACTTTGCCAATCACATACCTGGAACCTCTTGTCATTGACATCATGCACGCCATTGAAGTAGAAGTTGTCCCCCAGGGACAGGATCAAGTCTGCACCCATGGTCTGCACAGTTCTGGCCATCTCCTTAGCGTTGGCCATCTCCCGGGCTGTGTGGAACGGGGCATTGGGGACTCCTCCCCAGTCACCCACAGCCACAAAGCGCAGGGTGGGGGTGGGGGCAGTACAGTCAGCCAGAGGGAGCAGCAGCAAGGCTTGCAGGACCAGCAGCACCGTCCATGTGTCCATCTGGAGGGGAGAGAACATGTCTGGGGCCCTGGCTGAGGCTGGGGAGCAAACCCTTGAGACCCCAGGCTGCCCTGCTCTGAGAAGAGGAGACCCCTCCCTACAGGGCTGGCGCGACAGGAAACCCTTGGGTGTCGAGTTCCCAGGACACTGTGGCATGAACTGGCTGGAAGGACTCCAGGGGCCAGGAAGAGTGGCTCTGCAGGGCCCTTCCACCCTCCCTCATTCTGTTGTGCCCAGCACTTACCCTGGGGGAGACACAAGTCAGGCTGTGGGGGCTACGAGAGGCAGGTGGGCTCCAGGGCAGAAGTGGAGGTCACAGAGCCTTTATTCCCTGGGGTGGAAGCGGATCACTAGAGAGGATGATGCAGTTTCTCCGAGGACTGTCCCAGAAGCCCTCCCCTTGGGTCATGTGAGCCCTGGACTTCCCCAGAACTGGACATGGGATTCTGGCAGGGGGTCTGGACTCCCGTGGGAAGCAGCGCTGCCTGCACAGCCTCTGGGCTGCCTGCAGGGGCTCGTTTGTGTTGTGGGCAGAGGTGTCCTGTGTGTCTGAGTGTGTCTGTGCATCTGTGTGTGTGCACGCGCATGGGTGCATGAGGCTGTGGGTTGTATACTACGTGTCTGAGAACATCATGCACATCTGTGTTCTCTGAAGACACGATTGTCCGACCATGTCTGGGTGGGACTGTTTCCTGTGTGTGGCTGATCAGGCCTGCCTGGGTCTCTGTTCTCTGCAGGGGAGGCCTGGGCTGTGGAGACCTGTCTGCTGAGCCAGCAAGTCCTGTGTTGAAGCGCTAGAGTTCTCCTGCAGAGCATTGTGTAGAAGTTTGTGTGGACCAGAATTTGCAAGTCCATCTTCCAGGCCTAGTTGTGCTGTGTGTGTGTCTCCGTGATGTGTTGTTTGACAACATCTGAGCGTGGGACTCTCCAGGGTCCCAGTGCTCTCCCACTTCTCCATCCCCCACAAAAGCGGCAGTGGTGGCCTCCCTTTTCCAGGAAGTCGTCCCACACCCTTCCCTAGTCTCCCACCCCCCTTTCCAGCAGGAGGAACCCAGGCAGGAGGCCTCTGGAGACACATCATGTGACTGCAGCCTTCTGACCCTCATACCCTGAGCAGCTGCCCGCAGGCGGTTCGTGGAAGCCCAGCCTCAGAGGGAGGGGAACAGGGCTGGGTAGTGCAGGGGTGTGGCCTGCTCCTCACCTCCTGGCCTCCCTCCTCTGCTTTGAACACCGCCCAGACGCGTTCCCTGAACACTCACCACCAGTCCCTCCAATCCCTGCGAGCGAGAGCGGATGGAGCAACCCTCATTCAATGTCAAGGACACAGGCACAGAGAGGGTCGACGGTCACCCAGCTAGGGCTGGCTGTTGGTCCCCTCTCCCTACCCCCCAAACTCTCAGCCGAGACCAACAGGAAGGAAGTGAGAAAGAGGGCAGGCTGAGACCCCTCCCCCGGGGGCGCGGTGCCGAGAGCCCTGGCCGGGGATCTCACCTGCGGTCGGTGGGTTCAGGGTCGAGCCCAAGCGCTGCCACCCGAGCTGAGCTGCAGATCCACAGGGTGCTCGCTCTGGGGCTGCCCGGGTTTTAAGAAGGTGGCAGCCGGCCGGCCCTGCCCGCGGGCCCCAGGCCAGCCCCAGGTGAGCCTAGGCGGAGAGGGCGGGTGCCTCCGCCTCCCCACCCCGAACCCGGAGCCGCCACCAAGAGCCGCCACGCCTCCCAGAGGCCGGCTTGGCGTCTGTGAAATGGACCGAGGACTCCAGAAGCTGCTCAAACCCATGCCTTGAGGTTGTGGCTTGGCCGAGAGGTCAGCTCCAGGACCCGATCGCCTCCTCCTCCTCCCGCACCTGCAGCCCCGACGCCAACTGGGAGTTGCCACCTGCCCAATGTACTTGGGGCGCCCACTGGCCCTCTGCCCCCGGTGGTAGCGCTGGAGGAGCCTCAACTCTGGGCTGAGCCAAGATCTAGGAAGGAGGCCTGACACCTTCAGCCACGGGCTCCTGGACTTTAAAATGTGTGTGAAAGGCTGGGGATGTCGCTCGGAGGTAGAGCGCTGGCCTAGCATGCACGAGGCCCTGGATTCCATCCCCAGCACCGAACAAACAGAAGAGAGGGGAGAAGAGTCCATTTTTTCCTTAGAATTCCAAAAAGCATGAGTAACCCCAGAGCCCTAGAAAGGAGCTTAACTCCTTTCCCATCCGCCAGCCTCCACCCAGGGGATAATGTAGGGAAAAGTGAAAAATAGCGACTTTGCCATGGCAGACACCTGGCAGATGCCACCTTAAGGAAATGATCCAGATGAAACGTCATAGTTATCTCTCATTGGTACCATGTGTCTTTCTGCTAATGTCTGAGGACACCTCCTGTCTGTGGTTTCTTTCAGAAACTCATAACCACAAGCTGTTGTTGAGAAAAATAACTAACAGACAAGACCACATCGAAGAACAGTCAACAGAATACCTGACCAGTGCTCTACAAACACGTCCAGAGTTGTTGTCGACTGGAGGGGACCAAGGAGGCATGAGGACTGGATGAAGTGTGGGGTCCTGGGCGGATTCTGTACAAGAAAGAGGATGCGTGGAAAACTGATGAAATCTGGAGAAGGCCTTGAGTTTTGTAAATAGCAACACAGCCAAGAAATGCATTTCTCAGTGGGCCTGGGGGTAATCCCAGTGGCTCAGGAAGCTGAGGCAGGAGGATGGGCAGCCTCAGTTCAAAAAGTTCAAAGCCAGCCTCAGCAACTTAGCAGGCGCTCAGTGAGACCCCCATCTCTAAATAAAATACAAAATAGGGCTGAGGATGTGGCTCAGTGGTCGAGTGCTCCTGAGTTCAATCTCTGGTACCCTTCCCTCCCAAAAAATGCATTTGTCTTCTTTTATTTTTTTGGTAAGAAATGAGGTCTCTCCATGTTGCCCAGGCTGGCCTTCAACTTCCAATTCAAATGATCCCTGTTCCTCACCAGAGCTGCCTTCAAAGCTGGAATTACAGATGGGCACCACTATACCCTAGCTGAACATCTATTACTTTTTCTATGCCTGCATTTATCTTTAGAAAAATAGGATACTCTTGGTACCGTTTGATAACTGTTTTAAAATTTTAATTAATTAATTAATTAATTATTTTAGTTTAATGATCTTCATTGGCTTTACTTTCAGTTCTAGAATTGGGCGATGCTTAAGTCCAGTAAGTAGAGAAAGTGTTTCCTTATGACTTTTTCACTTAAGTTAGTGAAGCCAGAATTAGACAGGCAGTCAGTGTAGATGGGTAAATCAAGTCAAGTCCGATCAAGGAGGCCAATTTTGAGTGAGTCTGGGGTGTTGGAGACTGTTCCCTGGGGGATTAAAATGTTAATTCCTTCAGAGCCCTTCCTCCACCCTTAGCAAGAGCCTGCCCCTGCTCCAACCTGCTTCCAAGGTAACCTGTCGCAGGAATTTGCTCTCCCTACAGGAAGCCATAAGGTTGTTAATGTGCCCTAGGCTACTCACCCTGCTCTTCCCCCTTCAGCCCACCTGTTTCCCACTTTTGGTCCTCCCAGGGAGCATTCCTGGGCCTTGTCACGTATGCAGGAAGAAGGATGGAAGGATAAGGGGGAAAGGGCAGGAGAACAAAGGAAGCCAAGGACACAGAAAAGGGGTAGAACTGCCTCGCTTCTGGGGATACCAGGATACCAGCTACGGCCCCCTTCCCCCTCTCGGGCGAAGTCTATGTTACCCCCTTTTAAATAAATTCTGCTTTAGGGGCTGGGGATGTGGCTCAAGTGGTATCACGCTCGCCTGGTATGTGTGCGGCCTGGGTTCGATCCTCAGCAACACATACAAACAAAGATGTTGTTAAATAAATAAGTTAAATTAACCATAATTAATGTGATAAAACCCTGGATCCTTGTATATTTCTCTGGTCCCCTCCAGTGTTCAGAAGAGGGTCTTCTCTCTGGATTCATCAGGAGAGACCCCCTTCTGCAGATTTTCTGTGGGGTTGGATTAGGATTTGGTTCAACGTCTCCTTCCCCCTCCACCCATGTCCTTTTATTTTATTTTATTATTATTATTTTTGTGTGTGTGGTGCTGGGGATTAAATCCAGGCCTTGTGCATGTAAGGCAAGCACTCTACCAACTAAGCAATATCCCCAGCCCCCACCCATGTCCTTTTTCCCAGTACCCATGTCAACCCCAGGTGACATCAATCCCAAACTGGAGTTCCTCCTTGGGCTACACCGGCAGGTCCTCCTCCTAACTCTCCTTCCCTCCCTCCCCAACCCTTCCCTAATTTCCAGCCCCCTCCCTTTGTTCTGCTTCTCTGACCTCCACACCCTCCCAGGAACATCCCCAGTCCTCTGACCTCAAGGCCTTCACACTGCGGCTCTGACTGACTGTAGGATTCTTCCTGACTCAGATACCTAGTGGCTTCCTGGCCCACTGTATTTCCCTCCCTTTAACTTATCTTTTGGGGTGTGCTGGGGATGGCACCAGGGCCTCCTGCCTGCTAGGCAAAGGCTCTGCCTGGGACCTACACCCCCAGCCTGTCCCCAGCCTACAAGCTTATCATCTTGCTATAGTTTTCTCTGAAGCAATTATCACTGCGGACAGACTGGTTTATCTAGTTTTCCATCTCTCTCCCCAAGGTGTGAACTCAAAGGAACAAGAATGTTCTCTGTTTTTCTGGCATCTGCAATTGGAAGCCCGCACAGGTGGTCGCTCAGGAATCATTGGGGAAATGACAGAATGAAGGGATGCCCTTTCAGGACACACTGTTCTGTCCACCTTCCATCCAGCCTGAATAGGCAGGCTCTCCCCACCCTCCTGGATTGGATTCCATTGACTCATTTTTAAGTGGTGCCTTTTTTCTGTGTGTGTGGTTGCTTTTGTTTTTATTTTGGTGCTGGAGCTTGAACCTATGACCTCACCCATGGTAAGCTCCACCACCGAGCTGCATTCCCAGCCCCTAAGGGTCATCATTAGTAATCAGCTGGGACATAACTCTCCCATGATTCCTGGTTAGTTGGAGAGAGAGGGAGAGAGAGATCCATATCTGTATTTATACCCCTGTATCTTGGTACAAAACTTCAAGTACTCTAGTCAGTACACACTAAGAAGTGCTGGTACAATAGAAACCAAAGTAAAATGTGGTATTTGGGGCTGTATCTTTGAGGTAGATTGCATGTTTAGCATGGATAAGTACCTGAATTCAAGGCTTTGTTCCAATGAATCAATAAATTGAATGAGTGAATAAAGGTGGGTAAGCTTGGGCACACCTCAGTGGACTTTCTGTTTCAGATTCTAGGTCCTCTGCTGTTATTTAGCTGTGTAACTGTGGGCCAGAAATTTTACCTCTCTGTGCCATACTTCATCTCTAATGTGGGAGATGTTAAAGTTGCTTAGTCAGAGTGTGTGGATCAAGTGATTAGCCACAGTGAAAGGATATACAACACTACCTTGCACATGGCCAGCAACACTCTAAGGCAGCTGTCACTGTTCATTATTATTTCTGCTATTATGTGTGTGAGTATTAGGTCAAGTGGTGGTAATTCGGATAAACTGAATATGTTTAAGAGACAGAAATGCAGGCTTGGGGTGGGGCTCAGTGGTAGAGCACTTGTCTAGAATGTGTAAAACCTTTGGTTTGATACCCAGCACTGCAAAAATAAATTCTTTTTAAAATATTTTTTTTTAGTTGTAGATGGACTCAATACCTTTAATTAATTAATTAACTAATTAAATGTGGTGCTGAGAATCGAACCCAGTGCTTCACATGTGCTAGGCAAGCACTCTACCACTGAGCCACAACCCAGCCCTAAATATTTTTTTAATTAAGAAAAAGGCCAAAATGATAGGTTGGGGACCAACTCATTCTAGTCTTTCTTGAACTGTCTTGGTTTTATCACAGAAAGTTCATATTCTTGGAAACCCTTAAGTCCCAGATAAATTGGAACAGTTGGTTGCCCCAAGATAGTGAAACACAGGGGTGGGGCTGGGGTTGTGACTCAGTGGTAGAGCGCTTGCCTAGCACAAGTGAGGCACTGAGTTCTATTCCTAGCACCACATTAAAAAAAAATTAAATAAACAAAATAAAGGTATTAAAAAAAAAAAAAAAGCTAGTGAGATACAACCATTGGTGAGAACTGTAGCAGGATCCCAGCCTTTTACGATGAATAATTTCAAACATCCAGCAAAGTTGAAAGAATTACACAGTGAAACCCCTTCATATTCATCCCTGGATAATGCAATTAATATCTGAATATGTTTTGCTTTGGTATCACTCACCGTCACAGCTTGGTGTGAAGCTTGGAATCCACCCCTGAGGAGGAGGTGCAGGGAGAGGAAATGCTTTGGGGGAAGTGAACCAACCCCTGTGTGGATGCACTAGGCATGAGGGCGCCCTCCTGTTCAGGTGGGGAGACAGGCTTTCTTGTGGGAGGCTCAGGACAGAGACCTGTGTTAGCCGATTTTCCGTTACTCTCATGGATACCTAAAATAATCAACTTATGGAGAGGAACGGTTTATTTTGGTTCACAGTTCTGGAGGTGCTAGTCCATGACAGGTTGGCCCTGTCGCTTTGGATCTGTGGAGAAGCAGCACATCATGGCAGGAGCATGTGGTGGATCAAAGAAGCCACAGGGAGAGAATGGGACCCCATTCCTCTGTGACAGCACTCATGAAGGACCCTCAACCTCCTACTAGGGCCCACCTCTTAAAGTTTCTACCACCTCCAAGTAGTGCCAGGCTCGGGCCCAAACTTTTAACACTGGGCCTGTGGAGGACATTCCAAACCCTAAGTATAGCCAGTCCCTAGCATTTTATTTTGCTTATTTATATTTTATTTGCTTATTTATAATTGCTCATTTATATTTTATATTGCTGATTTATATTTTATATTTTACTTATTTATATTTTGGCTCTGGGGATAGAATCGAGGGCTTCACATAAGATATAAAAGTGATCTATCCATGACCTACATCCCCAGTCCTTTTTGTAAACTTTATTTTAAGACAAGATCTCGATAAGTTGCCCAGGCTGGCCTCAAACTTATAACCCTTCTGCCTTAGCTTCCCAAGTAGCTAGCTCCTGGCATTTTACTATGAAGAATTTTCAAACACAGCAAATTTGGGGAAGTTATATAGAGGACACCCCTACATACTGACCCCTGGATGATGCAGTTAATGTTTGGAGCATGTTTGCTTTTATATCTATTTATCTCTATGTATGGACTCATCCATCTTAATCCTTGTCTTTTTTTTTTTTTTTTTTTTTTTTTGCAGTGCTGTGTCCCAATAACTCAGGGCCTCATGTATCCTTGGTAATTCTATGCAATTTCTATGCACTTTAATATTAGTTGCATAAATTTGTACGTTTCCTTGCTAACACTTCAGTGCTCTCATTACTAGCTAGAGTTCATTATTTGTTCATAGTCCCTCTCCTCAACCATGTAAAATTTACATACAATGTTTCACCGAAATCTACGGGTACATTGATAAATATCAGCTGCAATATAAGCTGGACTTCAAAGCCACTTCCCTGGGATTACTCATTGAATATATCCCATGATATATTGAATATGTCT